GAGCAAACGAGAAAGATGGAGAATAGTTTAACAAAGTTTGTTAACATAGATTGAAGGCTCCCACTATCACTGCATGAGGGTCTATTGTGATTTTAATTGAAATACTGTTTCTTGTATGAACTCGGGTATGCTTTAGTTTGGTTCATGAATGTTTAGAATTGTAATATCCTCTTAGTGGGTTTTGTCTTTAATGAGTATGTAGTGCCCATCCCTGTCTCTTCTGATAAGTCTTGGTTTGGTATCAATTTTGTCACACATTACAGGAGCTATCCCTACTTACTTCTTTGATCCATTTCTTGGACTACATTTTTTATTCTTTTACCCAAAGGTGATATCTGTCCTTGGTGGTGAAGTATGCTTCTCAGGTGCAGCAGAAAGATGGAACCTTTTCTAATTCAGTCTGCTCATCTATGGCTTTTTAGTTAGGAATTAAGACCATTGGGTTGAGTTATTAATGAACACTGTATATAAATTTCTATAATTTTGTTTTGGTGGTGTGAGGTTTTTCCTCCTCTGTTGATGAACTATTCTGATGTTATTTACTTTTCGTGTCCTCTATGGTGTAGTTTAACCTTCTCCAGACTGAAGATTTCCTTCTAGTGTCTTTTGTAGAGCTGGATTGGTGGACAGAATTATTTAAATTTGTTTTTATCTTGTGCTGGTTTTTTTCTCTGGTGTGATTTATTGTTGACTGGATATAGTAGTTTGGGCTGTCATCTGTGAGCTTTCAGAGCTTGTAGAACATTTGTTCTGGCCCTTCTAGCTTTCAGAATCTCTATTGAAAACCCAGGGGGTCTATTAGTGGTCCTGCTATATTAATGGTTCTGCTATATTAATGGCAGGGTCCTCTCGCCTTGAAGTTTTTAATATACTTTTTTCTGTATATTTAGTGTTTGAATATTGTGTCTCTTGAGGAATTTATTTTATACTTCTGTCTGTTTGGTGTTCTGCATGTCTCTTGTACTTTTTCCTTCTTTTTTTTTCATTTTTTTTTATTATTGAGAAAAGGAAGAAAAAAAAAAACAAGTTTCCACCTCCTCCCAGCCTCCCATTTCCCTCCCCTCCTCCCACCCTTCTACCCCTCCTCCCATCCTTCTCCCCCTCCTCCCACTCCTCTCCCCCTCTCTCTCCAGTCCAAAGAGCAGTCAGGGTTCCCTGCCCTGTGGTAAGTCCTAGGTCCTCCCCCCTCTGTCCATATCTAGGAAGGTGAACATCCAAACTAGCTAGGCTCCCACAAAGCCAGCACATTGCGTAGGATCAAAACCCCGTGCCATTGTCCTTGGCTTCTCATCAGCCCTCATTGTTCACCATGTTCAGAGAGTCCAGTTTTAACCCATGCTTTTTCAGTCACAGTCCAGCTGGCCTTGGTGAGCTCCCAGTAGATCAGCCCCACTGTCTCAATGGGTGGGTGCACCCCTCGTGATCCCGACTTCTTTGCTCATGTTCTCCCTCCTTCTGCTCCTCATTGGGACCTTGGGAGCTCAGTCCAGTGCTCCAATGTGGGTCTCTGTCTCTATCTCCATCCATCACCAGATGAAGGTTCTTTTGTACTTTTATAGGCATCTCTTTCTCTAGATTGGCCAAATTTTCTTCCATGATTTTGTTAGAAATATTTCCTGTGCCATTGACCTGGGTTTCTTCTCTTTCCTCTATTCGAATTATTCATGTTTATTCTTTTCATAGTGCCCTAGATTTCCTGGATGTTTTGTGCCTGGGTTTTTTTTTTTTTTAGAATTAACATTTTCTTGACTTAACAGTCCATTTTTCTACCCTTTCTTCAAGACTTGAAATTCCTTCTTCCTTGTCTTCTCGTCTGCTGGTGAGGCTTGCTCTGAGCTGTTTGTCTGACCTCCTCAGATTTTCATTTTCTCTTTTATTTCAGTTTGGTTTTTCATTAGTGATCCTGTTTCTTTCTAAATTCTACTTTCATGTCTTGAATTTTTCATTATTTGTTTCATCCATCTGTTTATGTTTTATGGTCTTCATAAAGGTATTTATTCATCTTTAAACACATTAATTATTGCTATTTTCAAGTCTTTGTCTTGTGCATCAGCTAAATTGCTTTTTCAGGGCTATTGCAATAGGCTTGCTGGCTTATGGAGGAAGTGTATTGTTTTGTGGTTTTTCACTGGGGTTGATGTATCTGGAGTTAAGTAAGATATTTGAAGTGGTTCTTGCTGTAGATATGGTGTTGCCTTTATGTGTTGGGTGTTCCATCCTTTGGTTGCTGTTGCCCACTTTGGGTCCAAGCCAAATGTGACAGCAGAGAGGTCCCTGATAGAACGAGAGTAACAAATGAATGGTAGGTGTGGTGAAGGGGAAGAACTAGAGAGGTCCTTGCCTCTGTGTCTCTACCAAGAGGCTAAGTCCCAAAAGGATGACCGTGGAACTGGAAGGAGGGGTTCAGGTCTAAGGGGGCAGCAACAGGTCTAAGAATAAGTCTGGGGAGTCTGGAATTGAGGGTGGGGAGTTGAATAAAGGCATTTGTCTGAGTCCCAGCTAACTGTAACAGCTAAGGTCCCTAGTAGAGAGCTGTTCTGTGGGTTGGTGGAGAATCACAGAGGAATGGAGATAGGTTAGAAGGAACGGCTGAAAGGGGCACAGCAGGAAAACCAAAGGTTCCCTGGACTCTGTCTGGGTCCATACCAACAGCTGTTTTTCCATTTTGCAACCAAGGCAGACATTGCCAATTGAGTCTGCTTTCAATCTAATCTTGGATTTTCTCAAAATTTTAATAAAGTAACAACTAACTAAAGTTATTATGCTGAGAAAAAGTCGATGTGACTGATAATAAAAGTTGCTTATGGAATGTTTGGTAGCTACACATCACACCCATGTGCTAGAAACCTTTTGTTTGTATTGTTCTTTTACATCAAGAGTTTTGAATAAAAACATGAAAGCCATGAATATGAAAAATATTAAGAGACTTAGGGTAGTGAATGTGGGCAAGAAAGGGAGTCTTGGACATATAATTTGGAGGCATAAATGATTTTATAAAGGAGAGTGTTGTTAGAAGGCATTTCCCCGGTGCAGCATTTCTTACGTTTGGTCAAGGCTTTTCACATGGATCACATAGTAGATATTCTGCAAATCAGATATTTACATTAGACTATAATTCATAACAGGAGCAAAATTACAGTTATAAAATAAGGACAAAAATAAAAACAATTTTATGGTTGGGGGTCACCACAACGTGAGGGTCCCAGCATTAGGAAGCTTGAGAACCAGTGCCCTAGTAGGCTGTATGTCTGTTAGTGCAGCCTATGGCATTAGTTCACACTTAGTTCATGTTTCACCATACATTTGAAAAGTTATGTAATGTGAATGTTGAATGATGGTAACAATATAGAAACAGGAATATATGTGAGTAAGCTAGTTTATGAAAACCTGATGTCAGTGACCTCAGAGGTTACAGGGCATTGTGAGGCCACGTGGGGTGCCAGGAACCAAACCCAGATCCTCTGTAAGAACAGCCAGTGCTGTTAACCAGTTAGCCGGCTCTCCGTTTCAGCTTCCACCATTTTATGAACTGTATTTTTGAAAGCATTGTCTTTATAGAAAGCATGCCAGTTCCTTTGATTCAGATCTCCTTATGTTCAGAGATCAGAGTCAGATTAATTGTTCTTCTGACAAGGCTCATTGAGATCCATTTTTGTTCCCTGTAATAAATTAATAAATGATGAAAGCTTGGCATGTTATATCTTTTAATAACTTTCTAAGGAATTCTGTAAATGCTAATATTTTATAGAATGACCTGTTTCTATTTTTGGAGTGAAATGAAGTAAATGATTGATTGGTGATGTCAGCTCAAGACAACTGTCTGATGCAGCGGACAGCACCATTGGGATCCTGCTCTTGCTATTTTATTGACTGGGTTTACCGTGGAGAATGGTAGTGACATGGGAGTAGGAGTCTGGATGCCAGCTGTGAGATCAGATAGGGTTGTTATCCTGGGCATCACCAGCCCTTCTGCTTCCGTAGATGGAAGAGGACAAAATGCCACTGGCCTCAGACTGTGGGGTTTCATGTGTAAAACTTATCCAAGAGCAAATGAGGGAAAGGCTTTTGTTATAGAAGATGCTGCATTGGGGAACAATACAATGGATAAGTAAAAGAAAAAGTCAAAAGTTTACCAACAGAAAACTGCTATTATGTTATATTGCCATTGTTTTGTGTTACCTTGGTAACTGTTTGTGGGATAACTGCCATCACTCTTGTTGTAAATAGGGCGACGGGGCTGCGTCCCTGGCACCCCAGCCGCCTGGCTAGCTTATGCCCCGAAATAACAACACACAAACTGTATTCATTTAAACACTGCTTGGCCCTTTAGCTCTAGCCCTTACTGGCTAATTCTGATATCCTGATCAACCCATCTCTAATAATCTGTGAGAACCGGTCTTACCGGGAAGATTCTAGCCTAGTCCATCCTGGGTCGGAGCTTCATGGCATGTATCTGCCCGGGAGTGGGGCATGGTGTCTCTCTCAGGCGTCTGCTCCCTAGAGGAGAGCTGTGGAGTCTGACCTCACTTCCTCTTCCTCCCAGCATTTTGTTCTGTTTACTCCACCCACAGGGCCAAGCAGTTTCTTTATTGCTTAACCAATGAAATCAACAGATTGATATATGACACTCCCACATCACACTCTATTACAGTAAAGTCTGCCTTGTAGAAACCAATGTATTTCTAGCACTTTGTGTTTAGTTTGTCACCTTTTCTCTGGACAAATAACAGTCTGCCACAGAGTTTAGAATGCTGTAGTCTTATGTAGATTTCCAGGCATTATCAGAGCGTATATTCAAATATAATTAAATGATTTCAGGGAGATCTGGAGAAGTACCACAGACTAGATGAAGTTCTCCTTGGTTAGCTCAGTTCCAGACTGGCAGACTCCTTTATGATACTTTACTAATGCTGAAGAATTTTGAGCCCACCCAGGATACCAGAGTCTTCTCTGCTACAGAGCCCAGCACTGAAACATTGAATGCTCTTCTTTTTCTACAGTGCCTCCAAAGCCATTACACCTGCAGAATTTACCTACACCCCAAGTCCCCAGGCATAAAGCTTTACCGAGTGCAAAACCAAGGATGGAGGAAGCTAATCCAGCCCCTACGTCCTGTGCCTCAAAAGGGAAACCTAGTAAGGTGTCAGACCTCATCAGTCACTTTGAAGGAGGCAGGTAAGAGTTACCGTGAATGGGAGGGGGGAGATGGCCTTTGAAAGTCATAGCATCTTACTAAGTTTCCAGCCTTTAACAAGGACATTTCAAAAATCAATTCCATGATCCTGCATTAATGGTAGGCATTAACATTTACTACTTCTCATTGCCTGTGTCTGTGTTGTTCTGAGTAACTGCTGTGGCCATGCTGCTGTCCACCCTTGGGAGTAAGGCCACCATGTCATCTCTGACTCCATTGTCCTCACTCTCTGAGGAGCTGCCTCCTATGCATTCTTGCCTTCCTGGGCCCTCTCTAGTCTTTCTGACCCATTTTACTTAATGAGAGGCTACTATGCCAATTCAGTCCACTCCTCTCTTCTTATTGGTACCTCATGGTAAGTGTTACAGAGAGATATCATTACTAAACACAAAGCTCATGCTAAATACCCATTTCATTCTCAGAGAGAGAACTTTATATTCTTTAGTTATAATGTATGGGCAAATGTGTTTTTCTCGTTTAAGAATAAAAGCCAAATCCATATAAGTTACTCTTCTATTTGCACTGCCTAAATTGTTTTATTGTGGAATTGTGTTATGTCACTAGAAATCCAAACAGAATGTATATAGTTTCACTTACACCCATGAAGGCAAATATTTTCACTCATTCAGGTATAATATTGAGATATAATTTCCCATTACAATAAATCACTTTTTAAAAATAATTGTTTTACGATTTTATATGTATGGATGTTTCATGTGGACTATTACATGAACTTTTATATATATGTGTATATATATATATTAACACTATAGTCAGGAATATTTGGAGGATGTACTGGGAAGCATGAATAAGCACAAAACTACAATGTCTTTCATTCAAAATTCAAAATGTAAGTATAAGCCAGCTAGGGGCACAGGCCTATAAACACAACACTTGGGGCTGAAGGAGGGGGGTCCAGAGTTTGAGGAGAGCCTGGCCCCTATTGCAAAACTCTCTCAAAAACAAAACAAGCAACTAAAATGCAATGTATTTACAAGATATTATACTTATTATAATGTTACAAATGCTGGAGAAAAGTGATTAAAAGCTTGTCTTCATGTTTCATTCCTGACCAGTTGTGTTATCTCCTATAAATCCTAAATACCTCCAAAGGGAATTTATGATGTTTTTGATAGCTAAGATTGTAGCAATATTTAAAAGAATGATTAAATTCCTTTAGTTTTCTTCTCATAGTAGATTGATTCAAAAACAGAAGAGTGATCCTTTCAGTTACAGATTCTGTAGCCACTAAAGTGACTGCAGAATATAAGGAGGGCTGGAGACGGAGCCTGGTATAAATGCTATCACCCAGGGCTTGCAGAGACCTCAAAGCATTCAATATTCCAAAGGCCTGGTGTAAATGCTATCACCCAGGGCTTGCAGAGCCCTCAAAGCATTCAATATTCCAAAGACTGAGGTCTCTAACTCTGATCAGTTTTGTGTCCCATTCATTGTGTTGTTTGAATTTATCTCTCCAGGTAAAATGTGGACAGTTTCTATACTGTCTTAAGGAAGGGTGTGTTGTCATTCATGGTTCTAAGCGTATGTAAGATAGATACCACGTTCGTATTTGGGCAAGGCTTTGCAGGAATTCTACTTGTGATGGAATCCATTGCAAGTAACAACAACATTGGCCTGCTGCCATACATGTGGAGCCAATGTCAGATGTTCAAATCCACTGGAAAAAAAACAAAAGCTTAGACTAAATTCAAATTTGTATTAAATGAATTTGTTCTTACTGTTAGCAGAAGTAAGGTAAGGGTAAGGGTAAGGGCGTGGGGATTAGAAATATAGCAAAGAATAGGAAGATGCAAATGAAAATAATAAAATGGAGAAACATAAAGGTAGTATCGGGCGGGAATTCTTTAGTGAATACTGAAAATTTGCCCACATTTAATTTCCAAGTGCTTAAAATACACCTGACCCCAAAAAGTAGGACTAGGCAAAAGGCTGTATTAGCATGATACAAGGAAATGAACGCACCAATTGAAAGTGCGGGCTACATTCACAGTTAAACATCCTGTTGCTAGAACAAAACAAGCCACCAAGTCCTGCTCGTGCCTTAGACCAAAACATTCTGTAGGCAAGCCACTCCCTGGGTGGGATCTCCATAAAGGGAACTGGAACTTAGTTACATCCTTAGACTTTTGTGTGAGGTAGGAACACATCTACTTCTCTATTCCTGGAGCACGTGATCTGGCAATTAGCCTCACCTGCTGACAATAATCTTGAGAGAGCAGATCTCCCTGATTTACAACTACCTGGGACCTTTGTCTGAGATAGAAGCACAGTAACCTTGACAGAACTAGAAACTCTCTGACTTTGATCCACGTGGAAATAGGCTCATATTTCAGGCCTCCACATGAGGTTTGAAGGCAGATGTCGGGAAGGTGTGCATTGTAACTCTCCCTGGTCTCCACAGCAGGGCAGGAACCCTGTTTCACTTCCCTCAGTTGCTTCTTCCTTTCTCGCTATGTAGTAATAAGAAGACCATTTCCTCACTTTCCGTACTGATAGCGAGCTGTACAGAAGCAAAGGCAGCTGTTAATACTCAGCCCATTATCCTGCTATTTCTGTTTTCGAAACAGGGTTTCTCTGTGTAGTCCTGGCTATCCGGGAACTCACGCAGTAGACTGAACTGGCCTTGAACTTCCATAGGTCCGCTTGCCTCTCCAATATCCTATTCTTATCTCACTTACAGGCCACTAGGATCCCTCAGGCATTCCAGAACCAAAGATCAACAGCCCATATGCCCGGCTGCATGCTAAGTCTCTTTAGCCATCACATGGGTACATTATTCCTCGGGTGTGGAGCACTCGAATGACTAGGATGAGGCTGTTCATTTCTGGGCAGGTATAAACACAGTGCCATGAGGTTAGGGCTAGATGTCATGACCCCACAGCAGGACAGCGGCCCTAAAAGGGTCTGCAGAGTGGGTTAATACTGACTTTACTGCTGGCCAATGCCCACAAGCCTTCAAGCTGCTTTTCAGTTCTGACCCCTGTTGTCACAGCCTACTATCTGGTGGAACAAAAGGAGGCCACTGGGTTCTGAATAACCACAGAAAGAAGCCAGGGGGACCTTGCAGGGCCACATGTCACTGCAGTTTGGGGCTGTAGATGAAGACCAGTGAAGTGGCTCAGCAGGAGTAGTGCTCGCTTTGCACGCCTGACCACCTGAGCTCAATCCCTGAAAACTCAGGCCAGAAAGAGAAACCAACTCCCAAACGTTGTTCCCTGACCTCCACAGTGCTTCATAGTCCATGCATGCGCGCGCTCTCTCTCTCTCTCTCTCTCTCTCTCTCTCTCTCTCTCTCTCTCTCTCACACACACACACACACACACACACACACACACACACACACACAGTAATAAATGCTTTTTAAAGGACCAGCTAGCTGAGTGTCATAGTTTCACTTGGATGAAAGTAATACCATCCTGTTAAGTAGAATGATTTGGAGCCAGTAAATGTTACTTTATTTTCTTTTTTGTTGTGGCTTTCTTTTTCTCACATTTTTCTTTCTCCTGGAGTAAGAAAAAAAAATACTCTTTTTTAGCTTAGAAAAACCTCACGATTTTAAAAAATAACGTTTTCCCACAGACAAGCACTGGGCTTTCCCAAGCACACTGCATGGCTATCTTTACTCCCTACCCCACCCCTTCACACACTTGCTGGGCTTCCACAGGCTCCAGCGTCTCCTGAGAACTAGTTTAACTACTGCTTTCCCCTCTCCAGCTTATTGCTCCTGGTACCAATGTACCTTTGATGTCACTTACTGTAGTAGATTGTTGAATGTTTCCCCTGGCATTCCTTTCGAAGATGACAGAAACTGGACAGCTTGGCTCATCTCTGAGGACTTTCTCACAAATTATAAAGACTCTATATACACTATGTATTGAAGACAAACGCAGTAGAATGCGCCACACTTAGGTAGACTGGCCACTTCCAACATTTTATGTATAAGCATTTCTCCTTCTGAAATGTTTTCCCTTCTCTTATTATTGTGGCTCTGGTGTTGAACTTGGACCATATTCTTTTTCTGATTCCTTTCTTTGTTGCTAACTGTCACTATTCGATTCTTCCATTCCTCAGTCCGCAGCAGCAGTGACAGGTTGGGGTGATCGGGATGGAAGGAGGTGACAATACATCTCAATACTCTCTAAAGCATCTTTCCTTAGTGCACATTTCCACCCCATCACCCAGGTTCCACCTCTACTGAAGATGGTAATCAGTCTTAGATTTTTGTTGGCAGCGTATTCACCTGCTCCTCAGTCCATCTGAAATCTTTCCTTGTAACATGGGGCAAAGGTTTAGAGCCGGACTTCTTAGCTTGAATTCTGGTTTTACCACTTGGTAGCCAGGTGACACTGGCTGTATGAAGGAATCTTTCCACATATAGAGTCCTCTGTTTGTGGGCCCCTCTCCAGGAATTATTGTAAGAATAAAACCCCATAACCAGTGTAAGGGCTAGCATAGTCTGAGGCACTTAGTGGATACTTCGCCAATGCTGTCTACTGTATCATTGCACAGAATCATCACAGTAATCTCGAATCTATTAGACTTTGTTGAACTCTTCACACATCAAGCTAAGTTGTAGGAGAAAAGCTGGAACCAGACAAGACCATGTTCGTTCTCATAGGATGTTAGTTTGTTTCAATTTCTTTTTATTTATGTCATAGAAATGTCTCAGTCTATAGTTTTGAGTTTATGTTTCTTCTCTTATTTTGTAGGTTAAAAGTATAGGTTAAAATGTTACTGTTGTCTTAGACCAGCCTCTAGCAGCGTAGGACTTTGATAGGAAGTCACAGAGTCGGTGAGACTAGACTTTTCTGTCTGAGGTGGGTTAGGGAAAAAAGGCACTCACAAATTCTCTTGATGGTTTCCTTCTTTATTCTCTCTCTCTTTTTTTTTCCTTAAAATTGTTTTTTTATTATTACACAGTGTTCAGTCTGCAGGCCAGAAGAGGGCACCAGATCAAATTACAGATGGTTGTGAACCACCATATGGTTGCTGGAAATTCAACTCAGGACCTCTGGAAGAGCAGCCAGTGCTCTTAACCTCTGAGCCATCTCTCCAGCCCCTACTCTCTCTTTATTATCTCTTTTTTCTCATGTTGTTTACAGCTTTTGTACTCCAACAGAGTCTTCCAGGCAGTACAAGAATCAAAACATTTGCATTCCATTTTTAAGTGAGTGATTATAGGTAAAAACATATTTTTCATCTCCCTTACATGATTAAATATTTTGTATATTACAGGTGAGAACAAATTATCCCAAGAACCCACATGCATTCATACCCAAGTAATTTGTTGTAGACTAACCGTGTGGCAAGCAAGATGTTTTTGTCAGGTCTTTTATTGGCAGGTTACAGTTTGCAGTTACAAAGAAAGGGCCAATTACTTTATTACTTACCTTGAAAGGTAATCTTATAAGGATTTTTTTTGTTTTGTTTTTCGAGACAGGGTTTCTCTGTAGCTTTGGAGCCTGTCCTGGCACTAGCTCTTGTAGACCAGGCTGGCCTAGAACTCACAGAGATCCGCCTGCCTCTGCCTCCTGAGTGCTGGGATTAAAGGCATGCGCCACCACCGCCCGGCTCTTATAAGGAATCTTAAAGCACTCACAAACCTAAACTTTTATATATGAAAAAGGATCAGTCAACTCTACTTAAAATCTTTAGGGTACATAACCATTCGTTAATGTTTGAGGGCAGAAATGGGTATGAGGACTTTGGTCATCAGCCAAACGTAACAAGGAGAGTAGTCAGCCAGTAATAATTGGGCTGCTTTGTTCTTGTTCCCTGACCTTACAGTGTTCCTCATTCAACCATGTGCCTTTCTAAGACTTTAGATTGTCTCCTTGGGTTTTCCACCTCAACGCTATTTAACAAAAACATCTTAGTCTAACTTTGTTATTTTTGAAGCTTTATTTCAGCTGTGATGCACTCCAAGACTTGTGAACACATCTCCCGACATTAAGGTTAAAAGCATTTAAACTAGCTAGCCTATTGGGATTTAACTGTTGGTCATTAGCTTGAGCTACAATCCATGCAGCTCCTTGGGCGAGACTCACAGACCCTGGCTGTGAAACATGTCCTTGATTTTATTTTCATTCATCAAAACTCTGTGTAGGCTATCATTATTATTATCAAATTAGACAGTACAGCTAAGGAGAGGTCATCTTCTTGACAATCCACAGGTAAAAATTCCCAGTAGGATGGGATGTTTCAAGCGATAATCACACTATATCACAGGCAGTGGAGCTCTCCCCAGGTCCACTCACACCATGCTAGATACCAGAGAAAGAAAGCCGCAGCAAACATGTAAAGACACAGCAGAAGCAAAAGACATTCCAGGGTCTGCAGTCCTGTGTCGCCTTGCCTAAACGAGATGGACCCATCAGAGTCCCTTCTGGTGCGCTGATACCAGGAACTTCAACTACAACTTGCTGCTCCTCTGGTATGGCCAACAGCAAATTGCTGTACAAATATTCCCATAGGAACATAATTATGTATTGGGAGTGAGGTTCCATTGTCCAGTTAGTGCTATCAAGATTATGTAGACTATCAACAGTAATAAGGGCTTAAAAATGACTAAAAGAAGATTAGAGGAAGGGATGAAGTGTACTGCTTAGGGAGACCAACCAAGAAAGGGTTCTCAAAAGGCCTGAGTGACAGAGGGAGGAGTGCACTTTACCAGTGCCCGGGGGAAGATGTGCTGGGCGGAGACGAGCAGGGCACTGACCCTAATGTGCACACAAATGGAGAACTACAGAGGGGCAAGGCCACAGTTAGGAGAAGGCTGTCCCAGGAGATGGGAGATGCAGGAGCTGGAGAAGCTAATCTTACAGGTTTCCTGGATACATTTGTGGACTCTTGCATGCTTAAGGATCTGATTTGTAAGGACTGGATTGGAAAGATCAGGAGCAAAATTAAAGATACCAGCTGGCAGCTACTATCCTATTTATTATGTATAATAAAGGTTTAAAAATGTTTCTGTTTTCCAAATCAAACCAACTTGGGTTTATAACAAGTTTATAAACCATAAATGTCTATGCTTGTTTGCAGAAATGATTAAAAAGTAAAGATCTTGGGAACAGGTATCCTCATGAAACAAATATTCTTTTATCTCAGTCTTTACTGAATGAGTTGTACTAGTAAACGGCTCACGGGAATGCTCTAACCAGGAAAGAAATGTTCAGGTTCATTCAGTCTGCTTTTGCTGTGAGCCAGCCACTGACAGCTGAGCCACCTCCAGCCTTCCCCCTTTTCTTGTTTAAACGCGACTCATGTCCCAAGGATCCGTGTTTCCAAAACCACCATGAATAAGAGTCGTCTCTTTTCACCTGGAATTGACTTGTCTTCATGCTAAAACTTTTCATGCCGATGTTTCTTTTTCTATTTTATCTTATAGTGTTTTGTCAAGTTACATCGATTTGCAAAAAGATTCTACAGTGAACCTAAATATTCCTCAAACTCCGGGACAGCATGGATTGACCTCCACACCTCCACGGAAATTCCTAACCCAGCACTCTCCACAGAAGCAGGAAAACAATACAGATCCGACTCAGGGCCAGCGCGGTGGTTTGGCCAACGGTGTGGTGGCTGCGCAAAGTCGGGCGGATTGTGGGGACGGGAAAGCGGCTGTGAGGAGCCCAGAGGCTGCTGTTCAAAGTGCTGAGGCCTCTCCTGACACACACTTGGTGAACGGAGAAGGAAATGAAACTGCCACAGATTCTGCATCATCCATAACCAAAAACCATGATGAAGATGCCTCTGACAGCAGCCGCCGGACTCGGGGTGCTGACTTAGGGCTGCCCTCCAAAGGAGGAGGGTCAGGGATGGAAGCTGAGCTACCAGAGAAGGAGAATGGCGTGAACACCATGGAACTGGATAAGTTGGACCAGCACCCTGAAATGAAGGTAAGCAGAAGCTGTCTCGTTGCAGGGGAAGCATGGCCTAGTGTGTTCCGGTCCAGGCTGTTTCACAGCACCTGGGAAATGCGTGCGTGACTCGGGTTATCCACACCAGCAGATGAACCATTTGCAAGCTCTGGGAGCTACTGGGTTCTACCCTGTCTCAGAAGTGTTTCCCTTTTTCTTCCTGTGTGGCTTCTTTTGGTCGCTCTGTTGTGATTTCTAAAAGCATGGTTGTATTGTAGACAAACCACAGCAACCACGTTGTTTCCACTTGGGAGGCAGATGTTCTTTGAGACTCTAGATTTCGGTGCTATAGACCGGTATTGTTTCTGTGATGTAAAAACCACAAGCCTAAATAGGAAAATGCAGGAAATACTAGCTGCCACAGCCAGGGGTGTCACCCTAGACAAGGGTGGGACTGTAGGAAAGTGGCCCAGCGCCAGGAGATGAGACTGATCTGAGACGGATCCCTTACAGTGAAACACGGGCTCACGTGTAGCCCTCTGACTGCTTCCGTGTGTGCGCAATAAATAGCTCAGGTTGTTGGGGTGACACAGTGGAGCCGAGCTCACATCAGATAGGAAATCTTGCTAGCTGTATTTTATCAAACTTTTAAGAAAATCTTTTTTTAAGAATGAAAAAGAATATTATTGATCAAACAGAACCAGAAAATCTTGAGACTACTTCTGGCTCATCCATTAACTCATAGGTATTTTGGTATGATTCTAGCTATAGATTTGTTTTGGTCTTGTTTATTTCCGTATCTTACTTTGGGATTTTAATTACATGGCTTTCATGCCATGCTTTGGATATCTTGTAGCAAAGGTGTCATGTAAGTTTCATTCTGAATTTCCCTAGTCTTTAGCATGCTCTGTATTTCTCTGAAAATGAGCTAGAATTCTTTTCCTCAGTCTTTCTCAGTGATTATACTAAATAAAATCAAAACTTTGACAATTGTAGGAACATCATCAAATAGAAAATCCAAATCTTAAATCTGTTTCTGAAAATTTATGCTTATATACCCTAGCATCAGCAGACACTCTTAAGTAAAGGGCCGGTTCTAAAATGTTAACGTACTGATTGGTGGTTGTATTTAGAACAGTAGTGTCAGTGCGATCAACGAAGGTTATAATTCTGAGCAACTGGGTGGGAGAAAGTGACTCGTGCTTCACACCATTGTCTGAAAAGCAAAGAAACACAGCACAGCAAAGGGATTCTCCTTGTTCATCAGTGAGCAGGAAAAGCCTGGTGTTTCTGCACATGAGAAATAGTGACAGGAAGAGACAGGCAGAAACACCTTGTCTTTCACAGTTGACAGGAAGAGACAGGCAGAAACACCTTGTCTTTCACAATTGACAGGAAGAGACAGGCAGAAACACCTTGTCTTTCACAGTTGACAGGAAGAGACAGGCAGAAACACCTTGCCTATCACAGCTGACAGGAAGAGACGGGCAGAAATACCTAGTCTTTCACAGTTGACAGGAAGAGACAGGCAGAAACACCTTATCTTTCACAGTTGACAGGAAGAGACAGGCAGACACACGTTGTCTTTCACAGTTGAGATGGCATCCTCAAGGATCGCTGTGATGCAGCAAGTGCAGCCCCTATCCAGGAACTTTGCTGGTGGCTTCTGCGGTTGGTTCCTAGCTACTTCTACGTTGTGTTCTGCTCTGTCGTAGCTGCATATTCTTAGATGACTTTTACTTGACTTGAGAGAGAGAATGCAATTTTCTTTTTCTTTCTTTTCTTTCTTAGAAATAGATATCTTTCATACAATATATTCTGATTATTCTTTCCCCTCCTGTTTCTCTCAGATCATACCTCTTTCTCCACCCAGACAAATTCATACCCTTACTTTCTGGTTGTCACTAGAATACAAACAGGAATCTAGAAATAAGATAGGAACAAATAAAGCAGAATAGGACAAAGCAATCTTTTTTTTAGCTAATGAAGCATAGAGTAACACAGGGCCTTTCCCTGAGAGTCAGTGGATGGCGTGTGTGGTGTGGGGTGAGCTGTTGATCCAAACACCACCAATATCAGCAGGTTGTAGTGTGTTACCCTCCTTCTCCGAGACTTGCCACGTTGTTTCATTATCTCAGAATGCAATATGTCAATAGTATAGGGATAGTGTATTTTGTTAATTTTGTTATTTTGTGTATTTTAGCACAATTAGGAATAAAAAAGTTCTTTTTAAATTTTTTAGTAGAATATTGTAGAGTAAGCAGTTTGAACAAGGAAGAAGTAATAATGCTCCTCTGGCTCGTGATTGGACAAGCTAATAAAACTGTGTAGCTAAGGGATATAAACTGCATGACCACAGAGCCCTTTTCCGCAATAACGTAGTAATTCTTTGTAGTTATGTGTGATAAAATTCCCTTGGTGACCTTCAGATCATCCAATGCTTCTTGGACTTTCTAATGTGATAAATTTTTAAGATATAATGGAAGATTTTAAAATTCATCATGCACACAACTGAAAAAATAATTGCTCTGTCTTTAGATGAGTAGATCAAGAATTTCAGATAGATCTCATTTAAACAAATAGTCAACCTGATGTCCATATTCCTGAGAGCTGGTTTGTAAGTTCTAGTGGGTAGTACACCTGCCTGTATACCCTTGATGAAGGAAGAGCCCTTCTCTGTCCAGAAAGGTAGTTCTCTTCCCCTGAGCAGGAGGCTTCAGGCCACCCATGGTGCAGCAGGGTGGGAAGGAATGCCTGGCTAGCTGGCCAGGCTAAACAGATTAACCCCAAGGATCGTAGCCAGACTCCCCTCCTGTCCTCAATGAATGTTTCCCAAATGCCCACAAGCAGAGGGAAGATGAAAGCAATGGCAAATGTGGTGGAATATTATTTTAACTGGGCAAAGATGTACTACATTTGTTTATGTTGCAGAATATTACTTTAACTGTGCAAAGGTGTGTTACTTTGTTTATGCTGCATTTGTTTAATTATGTAAAGATATGCTACGTTTATTCCACCTTGCCTGCCTAAGACAGCTGATTGGCCCAGTGTAGACAGAAGTTTCCATCCTACCTGGTCCTGCAACCATTCAGTCCCAAATAAACGCTCAGAGGCTTATATTACTGTATTGATTATATTAATTATAAACTTATATTTATATTAATTATAAACTGTTGGGCCTATTGTTTAGGCTTCTGAGCATTCCCCTGCCTCTGCCAACTCACAGAGCCCCTGGAATTGCATAAACACATGAACTTCCATGGCTTTATGTGGTTTCTGGGGCGAGGATCTGAACACCGGTTCTCAACTTGAATGGCAAGCATTTTATCTGTTGAGTCATCTTCCTAGACGTGCAGTTGGCCTCACCTGCCTTATCATGAGCTGAAGAAGAAAGGGAAGGATGAAGATAAAACTGAGATTTAGAACACAAACTCTGGCAGTTTGAATGAGAATGACTCCATAGGCTTGAATTTATTTGAAAGTATATATTTGAGTGCTTAGTGGCCAGGGAGTAGAATTATTAGGAGATGAGGTCTTGTTGGAGGAAATGTGTCATGGGGGTGGGGCTTGGGGTTCCAAAAGCCCAATGTCTCTCTGATCAAGATATATATATATATATATATATATATATATATATATATATATATCTGATCAGGATATAAAGCTCTCAGCTACTGCTCTACCGCCATGCCTGTCTATTCCTGTTATGATGATATGATGATCAGGAACTAACCCTCTAAAACTATAAAGCAAGCCCTCAATTAAATGCTTTCTTTTTTTAAGGGTTGCCTTGGTCATGGTGTCTCTTCACAGGACAGAACAGTGAGTAAGACAGTAAGTGAGGATAAATTCAGTGCTATTAGCAGACGTCTGTGACAAGCTATATAACTGAGTACTGACGGACCACGGCATAAAGGTGGCTGGCTCTAAGGTTGGGCCTTGCTTTATCGAGGTGAAAGGTGTCCCATGGGGTATGTTAAAGAGGAGCCAGAGGGCAGTAAGTAAGATGGTTAGCTATTATGACAACTTGTGACCATGCTTCTGAAGGATTTGGGCACAGAGAGCAGAGCCCATCAGCAGCCTCCCAGCCTTGCTGAGGGCCTGAGATGCGGGTATGGAGAGCTGGTCAGAGTCTGTAGCTCAGCAATAGGAGCCAGGGAGAGCAGAGGCCAACGTGGGCTCAGCTGAACACTGAAATAAGGCAGAAATTTGGAAGGATCCGCTGAGGTCACGGTGTGCTAGAAGATCTGGTTTGTGCAGGAAAGAGGAAGATGGGGTCTTGAAAGCATCAGTTGTATGTGTCTGAGAGAACAGAAAGAAGACCTGCACAATGATCCAGTACTCAGGAACAGACTCGAGGTATTTTCTAGGTATGGATACCTCTGTGGAAAGTGAATACCTCATCTTGGAAACAGGGTGGATCACAAATAAAAATAAATTTTTAATTTTGTGGGTTTTTAAAAGAATTTTATATGATTCTTACCCATGTCTCCCCTTAGCCCCCCCTTATCATTCCCTCCAAAATCCATGGTCTGTTTTGATTATTCTTGTCACTAGCATCTATGTATGTGTATTTAAATGCATGTACACACACCTACAGAGCTATGTAGCTCTTCCCTTCTGTGCATGGGTCTAGAGGCTTACCACTAGGGATTGTACAACCTATATGGGAGCCCATCCCAAGATGAAACTAATTCTTCCTGTCTAAGCAGACTCTGACAACCTGTAGATCTGCAGTTAGGGGCAAGACCATGAGGAATCTCCCTTGTCCATGTTGGCACATCAACTGCTGTTGTCATTGTGGTGGTCTTGTTCAGGTGACCATACTGTTGCGATTCCATAGGAGTATTTTCTGTCAAGCCTAGGGAACACTACCTAACAGCATTGTCCCGGGCATCTTACTTTCGTGTCCTCCCACCCACTCCTTCACACTTGTTCCTGAGTGTTAGGTGTCGGAGTTTCACTGCAGATATGTCAGTTGGAGGTGGACACCCTGCAGTCCCCTCTTCTCTGCATTATGACTGGATGTGGATCTTTGATGATGGGTAAGGTTTATACTTATCTGTGGGTATAAAGATGGGCATTCAGAATTCAGTCAGAAACTATGTTTGTTTGGGAAAATGGCAGCAGTAAGTTCTCCTCTCAGGTCACCAGCCGGGGTGTTTGGCCTATCTATAACACTAGCCACGAATCCTCCCTTAAATCCAATTAGAAAGATTATTGGCTACCCCCACAGAAAAGTGCCGCTGTTATACCGTTGTTGATATCTTACAGGTTCAGTCATGGGTTTCGTAGTTGTGTAAGACTGTTATTTGTGAAGGCACTGAAATGATGCATTGAAACTGAAGCACCACTTGAATTGGAGAACACAATGTTTATTTCCTACATCGATGCCAATTTTTATGAAAGAACGGGCCTCAAGAAATTCTGAGATGTGTCTATAGAAAGCCACCCCCTCTTCTGATGTGGAGGAATTTAAATAATGAACAGCCAACGTGGGTAGGAATTCCCCAGAGCAGAGAATCATTTCACCGCCTGGTGGTTAGCATGGATCTTTTGCATACACGTGTTGAGTAAACGGGAGATGGGACAAAGTGCAGCAAATTTGTCATCTGTGAGCAACGATTTAAAATGAGGTTTCCTGCTTAAAATGAAATCTCGCGAGAGTTCATATACTGAAGAGCTAAGAAGCGTAATTTCAACCACTCATCCATTGCAACAAAGCAAAGCTGTAGCAGCAAGTAAAGGGGGACTAACCGTGGAGAGAGAAGTACCTGAAGGGATGTGGAAATTGCTGAGATGGCATTGTAGGCCGAAAGAAATTTACATACATATTCTATTACTATAAAGGGGAAACTTTTTTTATTATGGTGGTGTCATTGAAATATATTTTTATTTGGAGAATCAACTTTCAGTATATGAGTGTAGTCACATGATATTTAGGTGGTGGTGTTTTTGTTCTGGTTTGTTGAGATTGCTGCGCTGCTGTGGGGAGGCTGGTTTTCCCAAACAGAGGCTCTCTCTAGCCTGGACTGCCTGGCAGCTCAGTGATCTTCCCAGGTAAATGCTAGAACGACAGTCAAGAGCCTCCGAAGTAGGCTCTAAAAGGATTTGGAGCTTTGGGGGGGTTGGTTGGTTTTTTTTTTTTTAAGGAATCAGATGGACTGGAGAGGCAGCCCAGCAGTTTAGCGTCTAAGGAATCGGCTGAACTGGAAAGAGCCCAGTAATCTAGAGTGGACCAGAGTTCAGATCTCAGTGCCCACGAAAAGGCCCAGCTCCCCGTGCAAGGCTATGGCCCCAGCTCTGCGTGGGGATGGAGACGGGATCAATGGCTCTTGCTGGCTTTCAGCCTAACTAAGAAAATAAGAGTCCTGTGTTCAGAAAGAGACTCTGCCTCAACGGCATAGGTGAAAAATGGGCAAGGATCCTTGAACTGTCATGTGACTTCTGTGTTAGTGTGCACAGGCACACGTCATGCAAATGCACACACAGTCACAATTATATAAAAAAAATCTTTAAAGAAGCAAAATCCTTTTACCTTCAGGAGAGGTAATATAGGGTGCTTCTTCATATAATTTACTATATTTTAAAATTATTTAGACTTGTGATTATTTGTTAGTTATCTTGAAATGGCAAGCCTGCTCCTCTAGGAGGAAATTGGGTTGTTTATTGAATCAGTGTTAGGTAGCCGTTATTGTTTCCAAGACTCACAGTACAGAGGGTTTCTCAGTGAAAGGTTAAGGGCAAGGAAGAAAGAGCTCAGATAATTCTGAATTTGCAAATGTTAACAAACTGTAGCTACTTATTTAAATATCTTATGTTAAAAAAATCAGGCTAGACCCAATATGTCAATGAAACTAAACCTATTTCAGTCTGGAGATGTGGCTCAGTAAGATTACTTGCCTGGTATGTTTGAGAGTTCCATCAAAAGTACCACAAAAAATAAGATAACATATAGCCACTTCCTTATTTACACATAAATTTAATTAAGCCCGGTGACATAAAAGGAAGCATCAACTCAAATTAACATCAATTTCTCCCATACTCAAAGAACACAGGTCACTTCTGTAAGCCCCATGCAAGGCTTTCTTCCAAGCAGGGAGCAACATTCAGCGGTGCTGTAAACTGCTGTGACCTTGAATTTAGTTACTTCAGACACTTGCTCTAAGCTTCCTGCTGAGGGCTCAGTCTCCAAGACCCACGTGCTTCACTTAAATTGCAAACCATAAACTCAACCTGGGCTTCTGGCCATCAGCTATAAACGAATTCACAAGACGCCCTCCTCAAGGTTGGTTAACTTGAGTGGTTTCCAGAACTAAGGGAAGGAAATGCTTCTGGTCACTGGTTTCCTGTATGGAATGTCACAAAAATTAAAGACAGATGTGTAGGGCGGGGACCAGAGAGGAGGTCAAGCCTGCCCTCTAGGGTAGCATTGGCTTGCAGGAAGCCTGTGTTCAGCTGCACAGATGTTCTCCAAGCTGAACAGATGTTCTCCAAGCTTGGGATCTTCCACGTGGTCGGGAGGGACCTTTGAGTAGGCACGGTTGCTGATAGACGGAAAGGAAAGTTGTGCCTTTCTCTTCAAGTTCTCGCTGGCATTCTTTCTTTGCTGGTATGGACAGCACAGGACACCTTCCAAATGAAGAGGCTCATTGGGGTCTACTCTTGGGCATGGCCAGCTCCAGGTCAGAGGTGTGGAGGGGGGTTATTTGTAATCTGCCTTGGAAACACATAGGAAAATTTTCTTAGATCTGTCATAATATATGATAAATATCACAGAGCGCCGTCTGGGTAGATATAACATTTCTTTGTAAATCAACAATAGGTGTGTTTTAGAAAATAATCTTTTAAATTGGAAACTATTTTTCCATTAAAATTTATAGATTTTATATACCTAATGATTATTAAAATGCTCTTAAAAAGTCTGTGTCAGCTGGAATTTCTTTGGGGAAAAATAAAATATATATTAAAATGCACCATAGCTACAACACTCTGTGTTAGAGCAGGTTTTGTTAGCAGACAATTGGTACCTGTGTTCTTTGTTCATATCATATGACTGGAATTGATGTCATGACTTTTTAACTGTGGGACCCAGCCATCTTCAGCTCAGTATTTTTGTTGTGTGTACATGGCCCGTAAAGCAAGAATAAAAATTGTGCCTGTTTTATAGCTAAAAAGATGACAGAGACTGAGGCATACTGACACGTCTTGAATCCCAGCACTGAAGTCAGAGGCAGGCAGATCTGTGTGAGCTCTCAGCCACCTTGGTATATACATGGCAAGTTCAGGACAGCCAGCCAGACTGCATAGAGAGACCGCCTCAGAAAAACACAAACAAATCAAATTATGAAAGATATGACCATAACTCAAAGTCGGCGATTACATGTTAAAGGCTCTTTAGATGTGAACATGTGGAGGAACCTAAACCAACGCTCCGTTAGTCTAACCCTCACCTGTACCATAAGATACCTACGGCTTGTTCTGAGAACGCAAATCTAAGTGATTAACCTTGCCGCCAGTGGGCGAGCTGAGTACTGCTGCCACCCCATGGCTCTGCCGAGTATGACATGTGTTCGATGTATTCATACTTGGCCAGGTTCAGCTCAGGTACTGTGCGGTCAGCAAAGCATTGTTTCTTCTAAGCATCCTATTCAAGACCCCAGAGATCCGTGACCTCAGTGACGACCTCATTTCATGTCAATAATAAACACTGTAACCTGTCAGCGTGTTTTATGACCCATGAGAAATACTTTATATTTTTAGCAAAATAAATCTGCTGAATTATTTTTTAAATAGTGTGAGGGGCCAGGAAAATGGCTCAGCACTTGCTAAGCAAGCAGAAGACTAGAGTTCAGATTCCCCAGAACCCATGAGTGCATGTAGTGACCACGTATAATCCCAAATTCAGGAAGACAGACAGTGTTCTTGCCAGCGGTGACAGCGGTGTTGCCAGGCACAGATGTCACAGCAGTTCCATTCCGATCAGATTGCGCCGTCTGCTTGTGCTCAGATATCCCTGAAACATTAGGGAAAACTGCTTTGATGGAGCTTTCTCATTTGGTGTTTGTTACTTAAGGAAAATGTCTAGCTTCCTTTTCTTATGTGCAAATATCTGATTTTTTTTTTTTTTAGGAGACTAATGAGCAGAAACTTCACAAAATAGCCAGTGAGCTTTTGCTTACAGAAAGAGCGTACGTCAGCCGGCTCAACCTCTTAGATCAGGTAACAGTTTGCCCTGGGGATGGGAACATTTCAGGAACTGCAGTGCGGCCCTGACTGGTTTGGGTAGTGAAAGCTACGTGCTCTAAGGAAATGTTCACAGCCTCATTGATAAACTTGCTGACTACAAGATGTTTGCAGCTCATAAGAGTCTAGGTTTCTGTATGCAAGTCACAGAATGACTGTGTTCCATAATGTCAAACTTCATTCTGTCTTGACCGTTTGTTATGTTCTTGGGAGGCCATGTTAACTGCTGAAATTTAAGCAGACTCAAGGGTTCCTTCAGTGGCACAGCTGTCTTGGCACTGTGTCGTGCCAAGGCTTTGGAAGCCCACTGTTCAGCCTCGTGTGGAAGCTGGCTGGTCATCCAGTCATATTGGTTGCATACTGGGTCTGCTGTACCACAGTTTGTACTTTAATTATCTACAGCCTCGAGCATGGTTTCTTCCGTACACTTAGAGAGTTCCTAAGTGCATCAGGCTGGCTTCAGAATGCTCTGTGGTCCCACAGTAGTGGGTCACCCACTACGGCAGGCATCTCTTGCTAAGAGAGGAAGTGGCCGCGTTTGAGGGTTTGTTGTTTTGTTCTCCTTTTTTGCCACTGGTAAACTGGGATGTTGAAGGAACACAGGGTCCTGGTCACACCTTATTGCTGGCTTCCAGGGTCAGCCATTGTTTGGATTTTGTGAAACCACTTTACATTTGTATTCTGTGCAACAGTGGAGTTGTAGTTCAGATTATTGGTGTCAATGAACTTCCCTGTGAGACCGAAGCAAGCCTGGGGCATCTGAGCCTTTAAGATGGCTTTTCTTCCTTATGGGTATGCAGTCTCGGAACGAGTAAGCGCTCCATGGTGAAAAGAGGTCTTTTCTTCTAGGCAAGTTGTTATTTTTCTTTAATGTCAACTTAATTTGACTACTTTTGCCAACATTTTACATGCCTTAATCTGTTAATTATATGGCACCCCATCTGCTAGTCTATAAGGAGATAATTTGGTAGTATGTTTTGCCTCCCAGTAATAAAGAAAATTAATAATCGTTTGGACATCATGAGGGAACGGACTTTCGTCTGCCTGGTTTTAACAAAATGGCAGTTAAGGAGTACTGTAGCCCTCGCAGAGTGTAGCTAAAAGTTGAAGACTCTGTTTTGTCAATTATCTTCCAGGAACATGTTACAGTGTCCAGGAGATCCCTGAGCACACAGATAAGTGCTCAGGTTACCATGTGTTATTATCTATTTAAAAACAAATTAAAGCCGGGCGATGGTGGCGCACGCCTTTAATCCCAGCACTCGGGAGGCAGAGGCAGGCGGATCTCTGTGAGTTCGAGGCCAGCCTGGTCACAGAGCTAGTTCCAGGACAGGCTCCAAAGCCACAGAGAAACCCTGTCTCGAAAAACTAAAAAAAAAAAAAAAAAACAAATTAAAATATGAGAACTAAAAGGTTATTGTTGTTGTTTTTGTTCTCTCATTGTCCAGATATTAAACACCACTTCTACTATGGGAGTTAAGTTCCCTATCCTCCCCTTTCAAGATACATAGAGTATTAGCAGGAAGTACGTGACGTCAGCAACCACCACACCGTAGTCACCTTTCTGGTGCTGTGATACGACCCTGACAGAAACAAGCCAAGGAGGAAAGAGTTCCTTTTGACTTGAGGTTCAAGGCCAGGGCACAACCCATCAGACAGGGAAGGCCAAGAGGACAGGAGCTTGATAAAACTGGTCACATTGTATCGTAGTCTAGAAGCAGAGAGCGGCTAGTGTGCTGTGCTGTGCTGCTCAGCACCTCTCCCCACTGAGTCCAAGACCCCAGCCAGGGAATGCCACCACCCACATGGGCAGGTTTCCCATCTCAGTTAATGCAATCAAGATGATTACCCAAAGACATGCCCAGGGCCTGCCAAGTTGACAGTTAACACCATCACACACCATCAGAGCAATGTATAGTTGCTATAGATGTCATCCAATCATGGTAAGGGAACACTATCACACCGTACACATAACCTTTCCACATCCCTAATTACAGCCATAGATGAGAGGTGTAAATCCCTGTCAGTTGGAAATTCTCTGGCACAGAAAAACTCTATTAACTATGGACCTTACCATCATTCTATAGGAAAAGTTAAATAACACATAGGTGGGGGCATAGTTTTAGTTAGAAATAACTCACCCTAATTCACACTTAAAATTCTTCAAAATCAAAGCATGCATTTCCTCCTACCTTTCAAGGAGTGATTGATTTCTTAAGCCACAAACTTCCCCATTTATTCAACGAGGTGTCGTTTCTAGCCCAGTGCAGACCTGCTACCGTGAAAATCAGATAACCAAGAAATCTAAGTAACATTTGATTTATCTTTTATTCAGGTATTTTATTGCAAACTGTTAGAAGAAGCGAACCGAGGCTCATTTCCTGCAGAGATGGTGAATAAAATCTTTTCTAACATTTCGTCAATAAATGCCTTCCACAGTAAATTTCTGTTGCCAGAGCTGGAGAAGCGGATGCAAGAATGGTAAGAATCAGGAGTGCTGTGCCTGAGACATGCATGCAGGGTGCTACTCTTCAGCTTTTACAGTAGAACAGACACACCACACGCTGCTAATACCACAGTTAGTATAGTGCAAGGTCTTCATATAGAAACTGGACTGTATTCTTGGGTTTCTTGGAATAGGCGTTTGCGTCTGTTCTCTGAACAGTACCCTGACTAGTGAAGACAGGACCAGGCGTGATCGGCAATTCCGACAGTAGGCTCTTTCTGCGATTCCGAAGCTCCCATCTAAAAATGTGTTCTTGCTAATGTTAGAATAGGTCATACAGAGAGCCTGCTCTCTCTGCAGGCCTACTGATTTCCTCATTCTATAAGAATCTTTAATGACCTTTCTATATTTAATATAGGGAAACTACACCCAGAATTGGAGACATCCTGCAAAAGTTGGCTCCGTTCCTGAAGATGTACGGAGAGTATGTCAAAGGCTTTGATAATGCCGTGGAGCTGGTTAAGAACATGACAGAGCGTGTTCCCCAGTTCAAGGCAGTGACGGAGGAGATTCAGGTAATAGTCCACTTTTCTCCCTGCTCACAAGTTAATTTTTCCTGAGAAATTATATGTTCTTCAAGATCTCAAATTGAGATGAAAGTATTTTTCCGAGAAACTAAGCCAAAATCCATTCTACTCTTAAATTCTGCAAAGACAGTATCTGCACAGTTAGATCAGTTATTGAGTGTGTACCACCTGCTTAGTGCTTGAAAACACTCAGTGTGCATTGCTTTTAAACTTTTTAGTTAAAATATACTTACAGCATTTTTATTTGAAATAATTACTTACATTTCTCCTTTCCCTTTCTATGTTCCTCTTACTCCCTCTCAAATCTATTGCCACTTCTTTAATTGTCATTGTCACGTGTGTGTGTATAAATGCATACACACACCCCACACACATACACCACACACACACACCCCATACACACACCACACACATGCACCACACACACACACCACACACACACCACACACACACACCACACACACACCACACACACACCCCATACACACACCACACACATGCACCACACAAACACGTGCACACACCACATGCATGCACCCACCACACACAGGTGCACACAGCATACTCACACCCCCGACACACACCCCACACACATACACTGCACACACAAGCACACACACCCCTCACACATGTACAAACACACACCACATGTGCTCACACACCCTGCTCCATCCACCAAGTGTTACTAGTTGACACATGTTTTCAGGGCTGACCACTTGGTACTGAAAAACCAATTATGGGCTCACTCCTGGAAAAGACCAAATCCGGCTCTCTCAGCAGCCATTAGTTGCCTATAGTTCTTGACCTAGACATAGGCTCTATACACTCACCTCCATCCACTTTAGCATGCCTATTGTTCAAGTCTTGTTGAGGTTTCATGGATGAAGCATCCCTGTCATTTCTAGGAGACTCGGTCTTCCAGAAGACTTTGTGATTCTCTGACTCTTGCACTCCCTCCACTCCCTCATCAGTGATGTTCCCTTAGCCTTAGCTAAGAGATTGTACATCCGGTTCTGTAATGGTTTCCATCTGCTACAAAGAGAAACTTTCTTGATCATGGGTGAGAGCTACACTTTTGTGTGGTTATCAGGTAGGTATTCAGGATGCAGTTAGGATTTGGACTGCTTTAATAAGTGGCAGTAGTAGGTTCTCCTCCAAGATCCAGATAGCACTAGCCATGAGTATTTGACTACATTTCCACCTGGTAATCAGACCTCGGGTCCAATCAGACAGCTATTGGTTATCTCCAAAACATGATCACCTCTATTGGAACTCTGAGGACATCCTACCATGCTAGTCATTTGTGTGGTTCGTAGGTATCACACCTGGGTAGAACTATTGAGAGCCTCCCCACCCATGATTGCATAGCATGTCAGCTAGTCCACAGTGTACCATGTATTACCAGTGTAGTACCATGAAGGCTAACCCACAGAGGGGATGCCCTTAGGTCAGATCCATCCTGACTCAACTGAGTCCTGTGTCTAAATTATGTGGTATTTCAGCAATAAGGACCCACCCCCGAATTCGAGAAGGTAAGCAACATCAGCAGCAGTCATCCATAAGGTTTGGGAGTCTCTTGGACTCATCCAACCTACAACCCAAAAGGAGGTTTCTCATGCCTGGTGCTGAAGGCTTTGGTAAATAGTATATTTACCAAATAGCTCTTGCAGGGAGCATTAGCACGCCATGTCATAACCTCATTAAAACTGTATGCATATATGTATACATATACTTTTAGGAAAATACAAAATGTAATTTCTTTTGAGTTTTCGAAACTCTTTAGTGTTGTCTCTCCTCTTCTGTTGGTATCCTCCACTCTCTCCGTTAAAGCCCCCTCTCCATTTCCCCATTTCTCCCCTCATATCATCTCCATCCTGCTATTCCGCTCTCCAGTACCGCTATCCCAACCCCATGGTCCCTTTTCACCTTCCTGACTTCTTCAGCTATTCCAGTTATGTGCTCACATCTGGAGATGAGGAACCATAAGTGAGAGAGAACATGTGGTGTGTTGGGTGTCTTCTGGGTCTGGGTTACATCACTCAATACAATATTTTCTGCTTCCAACTGTTTACCTAAAAATTTCATCTTTCTTTAGAGCTGAATGGTACTCCATTGTGCAGATGTACCACATTCTCACTGTCCAGTCTTCAGCTGAAGAGCATTTCAATTGTTTCTACTTCCTAGTTTTTGTGAATAGAGTGCAATGAATGCAGCCGAGCAGATATCTGCGGAGTGAATCCTTTGGTCATATGCCAAGGAACGGTGTAGCTGGATCATAGGGTAGATTTGTTTTTAATTTTTAAAGAATTCTCCACCCCGATTTTGAGAGGGACTGCAGCAGTGTACAGTTCCACCAATGGCGAATGAGAGTGCCCATTTCCCTTCATCTTCTCTAGCCTCTCTGGTTCATTATTTTGTTGATCTGAAGCATTCTGCTTGCTCAGTTCCATAATTACTAGGCATGATGAACATTTTTTGAGGTGTTTCTTTGCTGTCTTTATTTCTTCTTTAGAGAACGCTTAGATCCCAGGCCTAATACTGAGTCAGTTTTTCCAAAGTTCTTCATATAATCTGAATATTACCCCTCTATCCGATGTTTACTTAGCAAAGATTATCCACCACCCTGTGGGCTCCCTTGTCGTTGTTTTGTTTCCTAGCTGCACAGAGGTTGTTTATAATTTTATGAAGGTCCAGTTTCTCAATTGTTGCCCTTAACCCAGGATAAACATAAGTAGAAAAATGTCTTCAATAGAATACTTATAAATGTATCGATTATTCACTGTGATCAAGGTGGCTTTAGCTTAGAGATACTAGAATCCTTCAACATACATGAATAAATCCCTAGAAATAAGTTTAACCAAGGCGGTGAAAGACCTCCACAGTTAAAACTTCGAATCTCTGAAGAAGGAGACTGAGAAACACGGCAGACAACAGAAAGACCTTTCATTCTTAGTGGACGGTAGAAGTAATATGAAAATGACCATCATACCAAAAGCAATTTACAGATTACTATAGTTCCCACAATATTTTTCACAAATACAAAATTCTAAATTCTAAAATTCATATGGAACCACAAAAGACCCCATATAGCTGAAGCAATCCAGAACAAAAAGAATAATTTAGGAGGAATCACTATTGCAGATTACAAGACACATTACACTATAGTAATAAAAACCATATGGTACTGGCAAAAACATATATACTGAATAAAGTAGAATACCCAAAATAAGAATGAATATGTATAGCAATCTAATATATAACAGATATGCCTCCTTCCCACTCCCACCCCCACCCCCCCAAAAAAAAGACACAGGAGGAAATACAGCATCTTCAACAAATGATGCTGAGGTAACTGGATATCCACATAAATAAAAATAAAATTAAGACTCCTATCTCTCATCCTGCCCCAAAATCATATTTAAATGAATCAGAGACCTCAGTGTAAAGCATTTTTCTTAAATTCTAAAAGAAACATGGGTAGTACTTTAGAAGGTTTAGGTGTAAAAAAAAATATATTTTGAGTAGGACTCTATTTGCTTTTGAAACTAGCAAAGGTTAGTCTTTTGGAGTGTCTTAGTCACTATTCTGTTACTGGGAAGAGACGGCATGACCAAGGGAACTCTTAGGAAAAAAGCACTTAAATGGGGGCTTGCGTAAGGCTTCAGAAGCTAAGTCCATTATCATCATGGCAGGGAGCATGGCAGCAGGCGTGGCTCTGCAGCAGCAGTAAGAGCTACGTGTTGATATGCAGGCTGACAGAGAGAGGTGAGACAGAGAGACAGAAACAGAAAGACTGGGCTTGGCATGGGCTTTTGAAACCTCAAAACCCGCCCCCATTAACACACTTCCTCCAACAAGGCCACACCTCCTAATCCTTCTAATCATTCAAAACAGCTCCACTCCCTGGTGACTAAGCATTCACACACATGGGCCTATAGAGGTCATTCTCATTCAAACCACCACATCTCACTCCCTGGCCCCCATAGCCTTGTAGCCATACATAATGTAAAAACGCAGTCAGTTCAACTTCAGAAGTCCCCATAGTCTATGACAGTCCCAGCCCTGCTTTAAAACCCACGGTCTCTTCTGTGACTCATGGCAGTCTCTTAACTGTATCCCATTGTAAAATCAAAATCCAAAAGCAGATCACATACTTCCAACATACAATGACACAGAATATATATTACCATTCCACTGGAAAGGAAAGGGAGCATAGTGAGGAAGTCCTGGACCAAAGCAAGACTTAAAACCAGCAGGGAAAATTTCAAATTCTGCATCTCCAAATCTGACGTCAAAGTGTCCTTCAGAACTCTAACTCCTTTCGGCTTTGTTGACTGCAACAGGCTTCTCACTCATGGGCTGGATCCACGCCTGATCTGCAGCTTTTCTTAACAGGCCCGCCATGACTCTGGAATATGGTGGTTTGAATGAGGATGACCCCCATAGGCTCATGTATGAGTGGTGCTATTTGAAAGGATTAGAAGGATTGGTATAGCGTTGTTGGACAAAGTATGTCACCAGGTTGGGTTTTGAGATTTCAAAAGCATACCAAGTCAGTGTCGCTCTACCTCTGCCTGTAGATTAGGATGTAGCCCTCAGCTTCTTTCCAGCACTGTTGCCATGGCTGCTGCTATGTTCTCCACCATGATGATAATTGATTTAACCTCTGAACCTGTTAGCAAACCCTCAATTAAATATTTTCTTTAATAAGAATTACATTGTTCATGGTATCTGTTCTCAGCAATAGAATAGTGACTAAGACTGAAGTAGGTACCAGGAAGTAGCATATCACTATGACAGGCATGGACATGATGAATGTTGGAAGGATATGGAAATCTGTGAAACTCTGGACTAGAAAAGGGGTTGGATATTTTAAGCAGGACATAATAGGCCACCCTAGCATGAGCAAGGATAGTTGTCATGAGAGCAGTGTGGGTTCAGCTCATGAAGTTTCAGAATGAAATATTAGTTAAGTGACCTAGAGACCA